GTGTTAAAACGCTGTGTTAGAGAAATGGAGGCTGAGGCTCAAGAGAAAACATATCCTCAAACTCAGCTAGGTAAAAAGCAAAGCTAAGTTTTAAAGTCAGATTTATCTGACACCGATGCCCCCTCCCCACCTTTTTTTAATGAAAAGGAACTTTACTACAATGAGTATAAAATATAGGAAAGACAAAGAATATAATTGCTAACTCAAACACCTAAAGTTACCCATCCCCTCGTGGGTAAAAGTCGACCCAAAAGGGCCAATGTCCTTTTTTATTTTTTAATGCAGTATATATATTTTTTCAAGTTTTTATCTTTACCATCAATGTCACACGTGCACTGGTTTCCACAAGGTTTGTTGTCATGAGAAAATGTCCTTTTGCTTCCACCACCCTCTAAGTCCTCTTCCCCAATGGCAAGACTTTTGACTTTCAGGCTGATTCTTTTGGTATTTACTTCCATACCTCTCACTGTTGTGAAAACGCATGTGTTGCTATTTAATTTTAGTTTTCACATCACCCATTGATTGACTCCCCATCAATGGAAGATGGAGATTCAGTTCTTTTCCTTCTTTTTCTGAGCCTCCACTGTACACATGCTTCCTTCTTTATCTTTCCAACTTCAATATAGCTGATCTAATATTGATTAGGTTAATGCTATTTATAGATGAGACATGCTTTTCTCTAACCCTAACCTTTATTTTTCTTTGGTACTACTAATTCTTTTTTTTTTTTTTTAAAGATTTATTTATTTGTGCGTACAGAACTGGGGTACAGGCCAGAGGCTCAGGGGTGGCGAGAGGCCTCAGCAGAGACAGAGTGGGGAGCAGAACAGGCAGATCCACGAAGTACACTGCTGAGGGGAGCAGCGGGCGGGTCAGGAGAGGTCTGCCACGCCATGTGGTCACCTCCGGGGCAGGCGGGAATCGAACTCATGCGTAAGTGGTTTCAGCTTCTTAGTGCTGTGCTTTAACCCGCTGCGCCACCAGGGAGGGCCCACCTTTTTCTGATTTTATATTTAATTGTCATGAATCCAAACCTTCACTCTCTATCAAATGTTTAAATCGGGACTTGTCAATTCTGATACCTCTGTAGGGTCATCTTATTATTCCATTGTGTTCAAGGTTTTCATTGTATCATTTGGTCTTTCCTCTTTGCCTGCTAGATTCTCTAGAGTTTTTCCTTTATCTACCTGGGGAATAAGTACATGTCTCTCAGCTGCCTAAGATTTGGAAATCACAATATCTAGTGTGTAGTCATTTAACCACTGTCATTTCAAGATGATACTTTTGCTAAAACAGCATTCTTTGAGGCCACCAATGGCAGTTTCATTGCCAAATCTGGTGGTCTTCATCTAGTTCTCGTTCTCATTCCCTTATTTTTCTCTGTTGTATTTGTAACCATGGACCACAATTCATCTCTTTCCTGAGTTTTATGTTTCAACTTCTTTAATCATCTTTTTCCCTGAAGACTTTTTTTTTTTTTTTGATTCTACCCCTAGTTGTGAGCATTTAGTTCTTGGATTCCCTTGTTTTTAAAAATTGACTTATTATCTATTATTTTAAATATGGTAAAATGCACATAACATAAAATTTACCCTCTTAATCATATTGAAGTATGTGGTTCAGTAGTATTAAATACATTAGTTGTTGCATAACCAATCTCCAGAATGTTTTGCCTTACAATGCTGAGACTCTGTGCCCATGAAACAACTTCCCATTCTTTTTTTTTTTTTTTTTTTGTAAATATTTACTTATGTGTGCATATAGAACTGGGGTATAGGCCAGAGGTGCAGGGGCAGTGAGAGGATTCAACAGAGACAGAGTGGGGAGAAGAACAAGCTGACTGACAAAGTACATTGCTGAGGGGAGCAGAGGGGTCTGCCATGCCCTGTGGGTCACCTCTGGGGCTGGGAATCGAACTCATGCTGAAGTAGCTTTAGCTTCTAAGTACCGTGCTTTAACCCACTGTGCCACCAGGGAGTGCCCAACAACTTCCTGCTTCTACCTCCCTTCCCCTCAACTCCTGGAGCCACCATTCTACTTTCTAGTTCTGTGAGTTTGACTGACTACTCTAGTTACTTCAATATGTAGAACTATACTGTATTTGTCTTCTTATATTTGACTTATTTCACTTAGCATAATATTCTCAAGTCCATCCTTGTTGTAATATGTGTCAAATTGATTTCCTTTTTATTCCACTGTAAGTACAAGCTATATTTTGTTTACTCATCCATAAATGGGCACTTGGGCTACTTTTACATTTTGGCAGTTATGAATAATGCTACTATGAATAATACTACAATGCATAGATACCACTTTTGAGATCCTACTTTTGACCCTTTAGATATATGCTCAGAGTGGGATTGTTGGATCATATGGTAATTCTATTTTTACTGTCTTGAACAACTGCTATAATGTTTTCCACAGTGTTTGAATCATTTTACAGTGCACAAGGGTTCCAATTTCTTGTTTTTCCTCCATCTATATATTATTTCAGTTGGGGAGCGCATCACCTGTTGCATCAGTTGTCATCACCTAACTACTCTCAAGTTTCTACTTCTAGTTCTAATCTATTTCCAAAACTTCAGTTTCCCATTTATAATTGCATATAGTTTACTGTGATTTGATAGTACTGTGGCAAATTCCTATTCACTGTTGCCAATACTCTTTTTTCCCCAAAACTTACTCTTTCTTTGGAGATAGTGAACTTGCCATTAGTAGGACTTGATAGTGTGTCTTGTTCTTTTTTATGATTTTACCTTCTTTCTTAGAAACAATATTCAAAGTCACCAATTCCCTGTTGATTTTTAGTTTTTTTTTTATTCATAACTGCCATCACCCTAGTTCAAGATTCTGTTAATTTTCTTCCCTCTAAGAGGCAGATTATCCTACTTCTTACATTAATCTGTACACTATTATCATACAAAACCCTTTTAAGATATCATTTTCATGTTGTTATAGTCCCAATGTAAAGATGATAAATGCTTCCTTTTAAAAGAAAAAAATAAATTATCATTGGACTCAAATTTCCAAACTACCAATCCTTTATCTTATTTCAAATTTTCCATTTGTTTTCTAGAAACTTGTTTTCTTTTGGCTTTCTCTTTCCTACCTCTCTAAACTTTTCTCTTTCTTATTTTTTAAAAAGATTTATTTACTTTTGCATATAAGGGTTGGATTGCAGGTGAGAGATTGGGGGTGAGCGGATTTACTAGAGGCAGAGTGGAGAGTAGAACAGGTAGATTGATTGAAATGCACTGCTGTGGGGAGAGGCCTGCTGTGCCATGTGGTTCAGCTCCTAGCCACAAATCAAACTCTTGCTGCAGTAGCTGTGAATAGCTTCATTGTGCTGAGAGTTAACCCCTTGAGCTACTAACGAGGCTTTCTTATTTTTGTGTCTTTGTTCTTTTTTTTTTAATTGCTTCTTAAATTTTGTGCTATCCAGGAGTCAGTTCTCAGTTGTCAAACAACATATTTTCTGAGTGAAGCTATATTCACAAAAATTTAGTTATTTAACAATTTCTAAGTCTCTATATCAAGCTTAGGTCTCATTTCACATTTTAATCACATATATTCAAGTGTTTATTGGATATCTTTGTTGGCGGTTGTCATATGATATGTATAAAAATGTAAACTAAATATTTTCTCTTAGGTTGCTATTATGTAATGTGGTCTACTTTAATGAATGGGACTATTGTCTATCCAGTTCCCCAAGTCAAAAATTTGGGAGTTATTCTGGCATCTTTTTCCTGTTCCTACATCCAATACAAGTAGGGATGTTATCCAATGAATTTTATCCCTTGCATTTTAACATCTCTTGTTATTTTCATTACCTGCTTAATGCTATGGTTTTCTGGTCTTGTGTTTTTATGATAAAGAATCATGTTTTTACCTAAAAAAGTGCTTAGGAATAGAAGTTGGATAACACTAAGTATTCAGTAACTTTATTATTTTTATCATTACTTCAATATTTTAAAGTTTGACTTTTCTGTTAACTTTTTGGAGCTATAGATATAATGTAAGCCAAATAACAGTGTCACAATTAGATCAAAGAATAATTTTGCCTCCTCAAAACTCTAGTTTAGTCTAATTATATCATTCATTTAGTTCTGTTGTGATTTTTTTTCTTGTTTTCTATATGCACAAACAATGCCAGTCCTAGTCTTTGTTCAATTTTGTGGTTAGCAAGCATGTTTGGTTAAGAGTCTTTTATCCTTCAGAAGGCCTGCTAATATTCTCCTGGATGTGCTGAATTTTACGACTTACTAAAGTTTGAATAATAAGTATATATCAATGGTTCCACGCACTTTAAATTGTTGGATTTGATCTAGTTATAACTGAAAAGGAAATATCCTATAGTTATCAATAGCATCAAATGAATGACTGATACATAAGCATTTAGTTTCCTTTGTCTTCACTTGTAGATAGGAAGATTCTAGGGTTACTCTCTCACCTATATCTATATGTGCTTAGATCAGAACCTCACATTGTATTTGCAACCCAGTTGCCTGAACATTACCATATAGTGCATCACATGATTTAAGAACAATGCCTTTAATGATAGCCATATCTGGTTTTCTCTTATACATATGCATATACAGTAATAACACATTAGATCATAAAAGGATTAATATAAAAAAGATCAGCAGTGCTCATCTTTCTTCAATTTGCCTCCTTTCATAAAAAAAAAGCAAAAATTCATAGTCACCTAAAGGATAAGGTTAACTTGCCAGCAGAAGGTTTGAGAGATGAGAGCTAACGTCAAGGGAGAGACGTTACAAATAAAACCCCGTTTTGTATTGTTCTTCAACTCCCACCCCCAAATGGCTACTCGACCTATGAAACAAATCGCACCATGTGCACAGATAACCCTAGGCTTCAGGTCTGTAATCTGACTGTGGCTATCGGCAGCCAGAAATGAGTTTCTTTCTAATCAGCCTTCGATCAATCCCCAGTCACTCATATAAAGGAGCTCTGGGAGGGGAGTGTTCTCACGGCTTTTGCTTCAGCACCAGGGCTCTGGACAGCGCACTGAGAGGGTTGCAGTCTGCATGCCCCTTCCTCTCAACCTAAACCAGCTCTGCTATTGCCGTTATAGTCCCCCTACTGCAGAAAAAGAAAATTACATCGGGATCCATGCAGCCAGCAATGATGATGTTTTCCAGTAAATACTGGGCAAGGAGAGGATTTTCCTTGGATTCTGCAGTGCCTGAAGAGCATCAGCTACTTGGCAACTTAACAGTGAGTACCGAGTAGCTAGCACTCTCTAGAGGAGCATTTTCTAAGGTAGTGATCATGTTCTCACCATAGGGACACATGGTGTAGAGTAAGCACATACATCTCAACTCTTTCCTCAAGTATCCTTTTTATCCTGCCTCTTCTCTTCTTCGGTCTTCCTTCTCACTTTGTTACTGATCCTTAATTCTAAACTTCCATACCTCAAAGTTTATAAGTAGAAAAAAAGAAAGAAGTTCCTGAACAACAAGGAGAGGTTAGATAAACGAATATCTTATACCACAACCAAAACTAGTGTATAGAACTTTTGAAATCTGAGAAGTCCTTTTTATAATTAGAAGCAGGTAGAAGAAATAAAGTTGATTCCTCTGACTCCATATTTATTTGTTATAGTAGATATACTTTGCTTACTATACCCTCTTCCATCTGCAAAACCTAGTCTTTAAATAGAAATAACATTTTCTATTCTTGTTCATAAATGTTGGTTATTGGAATAAAAAAAGCTTGAATTCTTTTCAAGTTTCCTGTTACCTCATTTCATTTTTTTTCCAATTTAATTTATGGAGTAACAAAAACAATGCACTTGTTTCAGTATTAAGACATTAACAAATTAATATTAACAAATTAAAAAGTTGTATTTTCCAGCATTTTAAAAGGCAAAATCATGGGATTTAATAAAAGACAGTGAAAGAAAAATGTAGTCATATTCCTAGTCAATAAAAATATTACATATTTCATTACTTTGCTACCAGAATTTATCAACACAGCTTGATTCATCAAAAAAAGTCTGTTTTAATATTGCTGTTCCAAATATATGCCAGAGTGTTGTACTATATTGGTAGATTATTGCTGCTAAAAAATTTGAAAACTAATCAGGGCAAGTTTCGTAAACTACTTAAGTCAATTTGCAAAAATGAGACCAAAAATATGAATTGATTTTCTAACACTTAAATACCATGAATATTTGGTTGAGATATTAATATTGAGGAATTTTGAAGTCATAATGAATTGCTAAAAGGAAAACAAAGAAAACCTAGTGTTATGATTAATGTGTGACCCTTTCCTGTAAAAAAATACTATTGAAATATGTAAGAACTTTATGTTATATGAGGAAGAGGAAGATGTGGAGGTTTGCTAAGTCAAATGTCAATGCCTGCATAAACTTCTCTCACACAAGTAATAAATAATAAAATATTAATTTCTGTGATATATAGCTCTAGTAAGTGAAATACTAACACGTAAAAGTAAACCAGTAGAGAAATCAGAGAAGACATAGCAAGCCACTATTCACTGAGTTCCATATCAAATGTATGCTTCTCAATTTTGTGAGGAAGTAACACTGTTTGCTGTATTATATCACTATTTGCCAGGGAGAAAGTTCTGTGTTTGCCCAGTTCATCATTTGCATATAAAGAACGGAAAAAAGTGCACTCTAATTTTACTTGCTCTGTCAAGTAAAACTTCCAGGTTTTAAATTCACATTTCTGACAGTATGATCTGAGGTCCTAGAATCTGTCATTTTTACGTTTAGCCAGTAGGACTAATAGTTATTATTTAGTCATGTATTATAGTATCTTGAATGACTAATGACATGTTAATCTTTTTCAGCTTCTCAGATTCGACTCTCTGCTCCTAATGATACACTGGTCAACTTTGTTTCTCTTTCACCTTTGCCACTCGAGGCTGAATTTTAATAGCCGCTTTTAGATATCATCTCTGTTCACAGATGATCTCCGTCGAATATACTCTTTTGTGCTGAATTTCTGCAGATAGAGTCACATTGACAATGTGGATCTAATTGCAGAGAGTGAGGTTCATAATTTCGATGCATGTCCTGAGAGATAGCAGAATGAAATGAATATTTAGTTTTTAAGATCACTGAAAGTATGATTATTGCTGTGAAAAATACGTTTGGTCTTATTTTTGGTACATTTAGTAATGAATCTCATTTCCTATGATTCTAGTTTGCCAGATCAAATTTCATGCTGTAAAGTGAACCTAGAACGGAAGGCAGGAATTATTCATAAATGAGACTATATTTTATGATGTTGGATTTTTGTTGCCATTAACTTCGACACCCAATAATGTCATCCAGATGATCTCTAAGGGCACTGGAAAATAGTATCCAAGTTAAAGTAGACAATATTTATGACTGAAACTTATGTATGAAATAGCAAATTTTCTTTGGGTCTGTATGATTGCTGGGGCTTTCAGCGTAAGAGTGGACTATCTGAAAAAACAAACAAACTAGAAGCCCATACAAACCTCGTTGTAGAAAGCTCTGGAATCCTAACTAATCTGTGTGTGTGTGTGTGTGTGTGTTTCTACTATTTTGAAGCTCAATAAGGCAAACTCTGGCAGAAATGATGATAAAAAAGGCAACAAGGGAAGCAGCAAAAGTGAAACTGCTAGTGAAAGTGGCAAGACAGCAGTCGTATTCTCCTTGAAAAATGAAGTTGGCGGATTGGTGAAAGCGCTGAAGCTCTTTCAGGTGAATGTAAAATATCATTACATTATTTTAAAAGTGACGGTGTTCTTGGTTACAAATCTGTCATCTCTTATGAAACATTACTGAGTCAATTTCTAGAAAATATGTTGAAAGTTTCAAAGAAACCAAACTCTATGAGGCTTTACAAGGGGAGTTTGCCGAACAATGCAGATTTGTGAACTTGTTTTTTATTATTAATTCAGAGTTAGCCTATTAGTGACGCTGCAGACTGTCACTAGGTGAAGAAGTCACTAATTAAAAAGTGTGAGGCTCACACCTGGAAATGCAAACACAAAAAGAGTCAAACAGGGTATCTTTAAATATTAAGAGCCTGCAGCCTGATTTGATTTGTTAACGTTTGAATTGTTCTAGGAACACATTTATTGCCTGCAATAAGCAGTCTCAGTACAGGCACTTGGTATTCCCTGCAGTCTCGTTGTTTCACGAACCTCATGTGTCTTGAGTCATTTTTTGTATATGAAAGCTCAGACTAACACTCCTAATCTTATAAAAATGTGTTAACCTTTCCCACACCCAAATCGTTAGTTTGAATCCTCGAGAAAGAGCTTGGATATTGTCTGCTTGCCAGTACACCTGATGTCTCCTCCACCCTGAAGCAAGTACCCTTGCTTAAAATGCATTTAATTTAGGGGCACTGGCTGATGATTAGAACTGCAAGATGCAGCTTGCCATGCTTGGCGCTGGGGGCGGCTAGCCCAGTAGAGAGCTGGTTGTAATTGTAGTGAGAGGATTTAAGCCAGTGTCCTGCTTTTGCTGATCACTAGCTGATTCCTATGTTCATTGTCTTTATTTGTAACACAACAATAATAATTCCTACCTAACAAGGATGTTGTGAAGGAATAATCTGAGTGAAAGTACTTTACAAAGTGTAGATATGAAACATTAGGATGATGGCGATTTGATGACCAGAGGGGGGCAATAAGCCTGATATGGGAGGCATTTCCTTGTTCTCTTTTGACCTTGAAGAAAGGATCAGGCACCATAAACAGTGGTAATGGAAATCTGGGGAAATAATTTACACATAATTATATTGTCCAATGTTATTCCATAAAGGCCCCAAAGGCAGGCCAATTCAAATGGACAGCTGGGTGCTGTGGAAAAAAATCCCTGGAGAAGTAGTTAGCAGCTGGTAATTTTCACTTGACCATCAGCTAGTCAAGGGGCCAGAGCTAGGTCACTTGACCCATCTAGACCTCAGTTCCTTCACTTGAAAATATGACTCAGACTCAACAAAGTGATACAATGCATGTGAAGACTTTTGAGTCTTGAACTTATTATGAGTCTTATCTTTATGGTCAGCGCATTTAGAAAATGTGGAATTCGTACAAAGGCTAATAAAGGCAGAAATAGAGCATTTAGTTTCTTGGCCACAGGACTAAAGTTGTATTTTTTTTTTTTTTAATCTAGAGGAGGATGCTGTTTGACTTGATCTTATTCTGGTGCTGGGAAAGCTTTATCATTGGCCCTGTGCTGAAAATTCTGAGTTCATTCAGAGTTTTACGAGTATATCTGCAGTGAGGGGATGTGGCTATTTATGTAGGGGTTATAGTGGAGAGGAGAACGTCGCTCTCAGTTAACCAATAGGAAAAATGGCAACCCTACCTCGGTTAGTTAAATCTGATTTGTCAATATTGAATTGCTCCTTTGAGTGCCTTAGAGCAAGGAGACTTTCACCCTTGAAATCCAGTCTGCATGGATTTCCCATACAGCAATTGAAGCAAGCCTGGACTGTGGCGAACATACCATTTACTAAGAGGTTCCATTTAGAGGTGCTTGTTTCTTCCATCAGCCACCCTCTCTTGCCTGCCTTTCTTGCTCCTTTTTCTTTTCCTGCAAGTTGGTCATTCTCGGCCAGTGTTTCCCAGATATCAGTCATTTTCATGTCACCTTCTCAATTACTACCTCATTTGCCTGCCATTTATACTACTTATTTTTTCAAGGGAACATTTTATTTTTAAACTTTAAATTATTCCAAAAGGAAATTTTATACCACTTTAAGTGTTCCCTTGAAAAAATAAGTATGTCTGGGCCCTTCTTGGCGGCACAATGGGTAAAAATGCAACACTATGAAGCTAGCCTCTTCAGTAGCAGCATGAGTTTGACCCTTGGCCAAGGAGCTGACCCAAAAGGCATAGCAGGTCTTTCATGTCTTGCCCGTGTGCCCCTCAGCGGTGTACTTCATTGATCTGTCTGTTCTGCTCTCCACTCCCTCTCTGGTGAATCCTCTTGCTGACCTTGTGCCTCTGGCCTGTACCCGAGTTCTGTATGCATAAATAATAGAATAAAATCTTTAAAAAATATGTCTGGGACTATATGATATTTCAACTAACCCTCCCTCCTCCAAGTAATCATGCAAGCCACCAGTGGGATGTGGACCCCTCTGGGAATTGATGATACATTTTATAGGGCCCTTCATAAGTATAGTACATATATAGGGTCCTTTATTTTATTTATTTATGCAGTTTTATTTATGCATACAAGAGCTAGGGTATAGATTAGAGGTGTGGGAGGGTGAGAGGATTCACCAGAGATAGAGTGGAGAGCAGAACAGGCAGATCTACTAAAATATATTGCTCAGAGGAGCAGCCAGCAAGGCAAGAGATGCCTCCTGTGCCATGGGGGTCACCCCCCTGGCCAGGGATCAAACTCCTGCTTCAGTGGCTGCTGATAGCTTAATAGTGTTGAGACTTAACCCCTTGGGCCTTTAGGGAGACCCCTATATAGGGTCCTTTAAATACCTAAATATCCCCTCTTTTTTGTTGTTGTTTGAGGCAGGAAAATCCATCCATAATTTTTATTCCTATTAATAGAGACAATGGTTGGCAACATTTCCATGTTTTAGTCAACCAAAGAGTGAAATTGACTTCTCTTCCTTTGTGGGCACTGGTGTTTTATTGCTTGAGTTGAACCAGCCTTTCTTCATCATGGCTTCAAAGTGATTTAGAGATGTTGCTTATGTTTCCTCAGGAAAAACATGTTAACATGGTTCATATTGAGTCCAGAAAGTCCCGGCGAAGAAGTTCGGAGGTAGAAATCTTTGTGGATTGTGAATGTGGCAAAACAGAATTCAATGAGCTCATTCAGTTGCTGAAATTTCAAGCCACAATTGTGACTCTGAATCCGCCAGAGAACATTTGGACTGAGGAAGAAGGCAAGGCCTTTTTGTAATCTGACAAATGTTGCACAGGGGAAACACAGTCTGTGAGTTAATAATTTTGAACCTGCACTATGTTTTCAACAGAGCTAGAGGATGTGCCTTGGTTCCCCCGGAAGATCTCTGAGTTAGACAAATGCTCCCACAGAGTCCTCATGTATGGCTCTGAGCTTGATGCCGATCACCCAGTAAGTGTCTGGTGAATCCATTCCACACCTGCTCTTCCAGCTCTACCCGTGCCAGGCAATGCACCATGTTCTGTGCTGTAATGCTTCATCGTAGAGCAATTTTCTATCTAGTCTCATCAGTGAGAGCAAGCCTTCAAAGGATAGCGCTTCCCAGGGCCAGTGCATCCGCTAGGTGCAGGTTACAAGGATGATATTTCTATGTAGAAACTATTTTTAAAAGGGTGGGCTAGAGGGGGAGATTCTAAACCTACAGGAGTATTTCTGCAGAATTAGACAAGCTGAAATATACTTGCATATGGTGGTCCCAGAAAAAACAGTGAGCTGAAGTGGATCACCTTTATGGGAAACTTGGCAGGGGCGGCCTCCCCTCTCAGTAGGAGAATAAAATTCTCCTTGCAATTTTCCTTGACTGTAAGTAGTTAGGAGCAGAGTGTTGTGGTGGATCTCAGACTTAATGGAAGGCAGAGATTTTTAGAACAAGACTGTGATGCTTGCATCTCTCGCCACATCTAGTCTGAATCTATCTGCCACATCTCCCCAGAACTCTAATAAAACCAACCACCTTTAAAGAAATAATGATACTTAGGTAAGTCCTTCCCTTTATCCCCTCCCTCCCACTGACATAAGTTTTTATTTAACACAAGAGACGTGGCGCTTCTTCATGGTCAGAATGAAGTACAGTTAAAAGTCTGCTAGAGGTAAGAAATATTTCTTACGAGCATTTTTTTTTTCTTGGTGCCTCTTGTTTAATAATAGACAGTTAAAAGAGCGAAACCCAAGCAAATTGGGTTGTGTGAATAGGAGGCCTTTCCGTGTGAGGGTAACGGTTTAGAGACGTTCATTTTACTTAAATGAAGGGACTTGGGGAAGCTGAGAGTATGACAGTTCTCAATGCAGCTGTTCTCCAAGTGTGTTCCTAGGACCCGCTCTGTCAGAATCATCTGGAACTTCTTTTCACAAGCCCACACTTAAGTTTGAGAACCTCTGTTTGAAAGGAAACTGACAACTTTAAGAGAACTTTTCAATCCAACTGGTCATTTGACATAATATACCAATTCAGACCAATTCATAATGTACTATTCCAAAATATGGTCAAATAGATCTAATTCAACTGTGTTCATTTCTAAAGCTGAATTCACTCAAGGACGGATGTCTTCTGTTGGCCACCATAATCTAAAATTTCAGAATAATTCACAGTAATTCACATGTAAAGTTCCTAATTACTAGAAAAACACTCGAGTGCCTTGAATAATCATCCATTTAGTACCTCACCCCCACCCCCCACATCCAGAGGAGTCAGAGTGGAATGGAAACCTGATTTGAGAGTTCTGCAATAATAGACTACCCAGAAGCACCATATTTTCCTTATGCTGCAAACAAGCAGGATGACCTTGAGCAAGTCCCTCTACCTCTGCACCTCAAATTTTTTGTGTTAAAAAGTAGGAAATGAAATTTTTATTGATCCCAGTGGGACATTTGAAAACCCTTGTTAATAAAACAACTAGAAAGAATTTTGGCAGGAGTAAATGTTTCACTCCAGGAATGGAAACGCTGTGTTAAATTATCCAGATCAGTGCCTGGACAGTGAAGGATTTCTTGCCATGCTCCTATTTCCAGTGCTCCTTAGTCTAGTTTGAAAATTACTCAACTTGGAGAAAGGGGGTCAGCCATTTTCAGGCTCCAACCACAGGAACCACCGACCTTGTTGTAAAAAATTTATTCTGATACCCAGTATAAATTTTCCTGTGTGTAGTTTTGTTCCGTTACTCCTAATTAGTCCCACCTTATAATACCTTCTCTTATTTTCTGTGCAGCCACTTGAAATAATTGCAAGTACTTAGCAATCTCCTACATCATTTGTCATTTTTTAAGCCACCTATATATATTTTTTACAAGCACACCAAATGTTCATTATGCAAAATTTGATGATGGTAAATGAGCGTTTTAAATCAGGTATTATCTAATGAGGATGGAAAGCATTGTTTAAGGGCTTTCTTATTTGCCTAGAATAATCTCTGGTCTGAGATAGGGATTATAATTTAAGGATAATATCCTATTTTGCAACCATTCCAGGCTGGGTAGGGTCACTATCGGTTCCAGCAATTTGAAAGAATTTTGGGACCCTTGGCATTATTTTCAGTTATTTTTGTTTTTAAAAATGATTTTTTTCAAAAAAATTTTTTTTGGGTGTGTGTGTATGTAAAAGAACTGGGGTATAGGCCAGAAGTGTGTGTGGGGAGGAGGTTGAGGTGATTCACCAGAGACAGAGTGGGGAGCAAAGCAGGCAGACTGACTGAAATACACTGCTGAGGGGAGCAGTGGGTAGGTCAGGAGAATTCTGCTGTGCCATGTGGGTCAGCGCCCGGCAGGAGATTGAACTCAGGCCATAGCCATGCTAAGTGATAGTATTGAGATTTAACCCTCATCTTCACAGGTTCTAATGGTAAGCAGGGGGAAAAAAGCCAGCAGGGAGACAGCAACTCGAGAAAGCAACCTCCCCAAGGTGGCACCACCCTTTCCCACTGCCTCCTAGGCACAGGTGTGCACACTTGCATATTCACACGCACCCACACTCAGGAGCCCATAATCAGGCACGTGTGCCCCATGCCCACATACCTTCATGATCAAAACCTCAGGTGATAGCTAGAGGCCATAAAAATCCTGATCAATTTAATTTACCCTATACACCCTGTGCTTGGCTGGGTCAGAGGAGCTTCAAATATACGACCATTCTGTTGAGGTTCTCTAGAAAGAGTTCATTACGAGGTGGCTACCTCTGAAACTTTAATGAACAAGTAAATCACTTGGCAGCTCTTTTGAAAATGCAGACATGAGGGGCTTGAGAGTTTGCATTTCTAGGGAACACCCAGTGGCTGCTTGTACTGGGTGTGTGGGGACCACACTTTAAGTGGCAAGAATCTAGACTGGGAAGGTTTTTCAATGTATAGTTAAGTCCATCCATTACGAGTTTGTTACAGATGTAATATCTTGAGGCTCCCCTGAAGCCCACTGAATCAAAGTTCCTAGATAGTCCCTGAAGTCTGCATTTAAAAGGTGTTGCAAGAGATTTTAGTTCTAAAATTTGAGAACTAATAAATTAATGATCCTGGTCCAGACTTTCTATTTAAGTAATCTTTGAGGCCAGGGTCCCACCTCAGAGTGCTTAAATCTGAACTCTGAGAATGTGATTAGGCTTGTAGTATTTCAAGCTACCCAGATATTCAAATATTCCACCAGGATTGAGCTGGGATAGCGACTTGAGTGCCAATGTACACTTAGCTGAGCACTTGAAAATGTGGATTGGGCCTTAAGTTCCCCTTGACCTGAACTGAAAGCGGAAGGGGGTGTATGTTGGATGCTCTCCAGGCCCTAGAGTTGCCAGAGTTAGCAAATAAATATATAGAATACTCAGTCAAACTTGAACTTCAGATAAACAGCAACCACTTTTTTTTAGTCTGTGTATGCCCCAGGTATGGCATGTTTGATTTGGTAACCTTATTCCCTGGCTTCATCAGAATGGACAGGCGAGAGCTGCTGTATCTCTAATCACTAGGACAGTTAGCCGCCCTGTTGTATTTTGCCAGTCCCTGGCTCAATCCTGAAAGTTCCGGATAGCCCATGACATTTGCATAATTACCACCACATTCAACTAATGAGGCATGATGAGCAAATCACCCTCTTGCATGCCTGGAAAAGGTGCAGGTGTTTGCTGAGGAGAGCCGTTCGAGATTCTTCAGGAAATCCACCAGATTACGATGCTGTTTCCATGGTGTCCGATTTGGCAGGAGCTGGGGAACAGATGCTAAGCTTTTCATACCACTCCTTTTCTTTTGCCATGACCTGCTTTTCTGTTTCTGGGTGAGTTTTTGTTTTGTTTTTTCGTCATAAAGGTGCTTGGGACTCTTACCATCCCAGGTTGCCTGGGCCTCCTCATGGGTGCTGAGACCCTCTTGCGGACCCACAACAGCGGATCATTTTAGGTCATATCCCCATTTATGAACGTGGACACCTGGGTCATGAAATTTTGTATGTACATCTTTTAAGACTTCACAATTTAAAACCTGTCAAATTCGGGGTTTCCCTGATGGCACAGGGGTTAAAGGCAGTGCTATCAAGCTGTCACCAGTCACTGCAACAAGAGTTTCATCCCTATGGATCCCCAGCTGGCCAGGGAGCTGACCCACATGGCCCAGCAGACCTCTCTTGGCTCACCCACTGCGCCCCTCAGCAGTGTATTTCAGTCAATCCACTTGTTCTGCTCCTCACACTGTCTCACTCCATCCCCTAAACCACTGTCCTGTACCCCAGTTCTTGTAGGCATAAATAAATAAATCTTAAAAAAAAAAAAAACTGCCTAGTTCATAAAAGAAAAAAAAGGGCTAGCTTCTAGGATGGTGTTTTAAATTTCTGCCCATCATCAGGTGATCTCAGAGCCCTCGTGCTCTCTTGTATTAGGAACTCTCTGGTCTTTCCTGCGAGAGGCTGTTGGCAATGGAAGGTTTTCATTTCTGCCCAACAGAGTCCTGTGAAGATTTGTCCTCAGGGCTAATTCTCCTTCAGCTAGACTAGAGAATGAGACAGTTTTCGTGAGTTTGAGGCTCCACTTGAAGCGCTTCCCTGCAGCGATGGCCTGGTGGCAGCAGATGTATCAGGCCCCTGGGGACCCAGCTCGTCAGTCCTCTGCTGAGTGCTCAGCTTCCCAGAGCCCTGTCTTCTTGTCTGGCCTCCATTCTTAGAGCAGGGCCCTGCTGCCTGTTTCCTTGGAGTTTGCAAGACTGGCGGAGGTAGAAAGCTAAATTGAAACAATTCCTTCTGGGTTTCAGCAGTCTGAAGAAACAACCCCAGATAGAACTGATTGTGTGAAAGCACCCGAAGGAAAGGAAACTGGAAAGTGTGTTGACAACAGGAGAGATTGTTGAGTAAGCGCAGAGGTCCTCTCAGAAGGATTCCACTTGACTGAAGAATGACAGATAGGATGTTTAATTTCCCAAGTGCGTGATGACAGGTACAAGTCTCCAACTGGCTGAAAACTAATCAGAATCATAGGAACTCAGGTGGAAGAGAGCTAACTTGCAGTCCTGTGCATGAGTCCTTTCTAATTGATCTTGCATTTTGTGGCTGCACTCATCAAATACAGCAAAGCCTCCTGAATTCGTACTAATTTGGGGATTTGATGATGATTTGGAATAATAGGATTTTTAATAAATGTACATCCATTGGTCATTTACACAAAGCAATTCTATATTGGCTAGCTGACAGAGGAACCATGTTAAAGAGACCTGTTTTAATTAGTTTGCGATTAAGATCAATTACATGTAAATGATACTTGAAAAGCAAAGGATACTGTTCACAGTATCAATTTGCTTCACTAAGCCATTCTGCCTACTTAGTAGAAAAGTAAACTTTAACCAGAATTCCCATACATCCCAAATTAGTACAGACCAAATTTAATGAGGTTTTACTGTAAGCACAACTCGCTTCTGCCTGTGTCATCAAGACGGTCATCCAAGGGTAGAATTTACATTTGAACTTGACACTCAGTAAACACCACGGTGATTTTCTTTTAGGCTTTCTGCAGCTAATTTTTTGGCACCCCCGTTAAATGACTTAATCTCTTTTTCTGTTCAAGGGATTTAAGGACAATGTCTATCGACAGAGAAGAAAGTATTTTGTGGATGTGGCCATGGGTTATAAATAGTAAGTACCTGTATAACTCTTTCTTGCAACTTGTCGCTGGCTAGTTAGGAAAAACACATGCTGTGTAAAACAGTCCTGTCTTCCCTTCACTTTAACTTTTGCAGAAGCAGACATGAACCATTTTAAACACTCACCAACTCTGTAGGCTTTAAATGCCAACACTGATGCTTGACATCTGGGTATAATTGTAAAATAATGAGCCCTGCAGGCCACATGCCAAGTGCTACATTTCCCCCATTGTGTTTGCAGCTCTATTAAGTCAAGGAGTCATTTCTGTACATGCTTAGGACCTTGGAAAATGTATTTTAATGTTACTTTTGACTTGACTTTTCAGTAACCCCCCCCTTACTGCCCAGCTTCTCTGAAAAAATAGAGAATTTGAGCAAGAATGATAGAAAAGATTCATATATGCAGCTAAAATAGAAATGTGTTTGTTTTATATGGAGAGGAAAAGCTTCTGTCACTTAAAGGATTTATAGAAAACTTTCCTACTCGATCACAGATCAGGGCTGGGATGACATTGATGAGCCGGGGGTGGGCGGAGAGGACTTACCTGGGGCTAAGTGGCAGAGTGACTGCGCCTGGCAGTAATGGAGTCTGTTCATTGCCAGCCATGTCTAGAAAGGTGGAGTGGACCCTCGGCCTGTTCTTCTACTCATGCTAAGTCTATAAATCATCATGGCACTATCTTCCCTTGTCTGGTATGTGGTCTGCTGCCTGTTACTAGAAAAAATGTACTGGTAGAGGGAAGGGTCCTTGTTGCACCAATGGAGACTGGGGGAGCGCTTGACAGACCTGCTGAGAGACTTTGTCATTGGTAAGAATTTAGGGTGTTATGATGTTACAGAGGGTTTCAGTGATAATTTCAGTCGTACCTCTGACTGAACCAGTCATGTACTCATTTCTAACATTCCTCGATGCTTTGGTTCTTGTCCCTTCTTCCTCCCAGGCCCCAGGGCCCTTCACTTTTTCTCGTTTTTCCCATTTATCATCTTGAACACTGAGATGTCTATTTCATTTTTGCCTCTTCTGTTTCTAGCAGCTTCTTGACCCTATTTAGACCACTGTGACTTTCAACTCCTTCCCAAAACCAGCATGCACATGGCTCGTCCTGGCATGCTGGCATGGCTTGTCCTAATAGGCCTGATGGCATGTGCAACTTCTTTTTACCCTCAGCACCATCACTCATAAACCCCATTTCCTAGTGTCCCTAGACAAATTGCAAAGAGAGAACTCTGATGGGCCAAATTCACTTTTTTCATTAGGGCCTGATAAAGTTTGTGAGTCTTAAGATTGGCTCCCCTCAGTTCCTGGAGCCTCCAGTGGAGTCAGGTCATGGCTCTATAGATGGATCTTTCAAGTAGTGTCAGTGGATAGGGTCCTGGGGCATTTGGGGTGGAACCTAAGGCCTAGTAAAAGCTCATTCTTAACACTGGATCTTTTCCTGTAGAAAAAAACAGAGAAAATGTATTATATATGTAGATACTATAATGTCTTTCTGTCTATATGAGAATAGCACATGTACATATGTACATACATGTAGAGAATTTCATTAGCATAGTTATGATGTTGTAATTTACACCAAGAAAGGTGTTTTTGAACTTCTACCTGATCAGAGAGCTCCCCAAACCCTTGAAATTTCCTAAGCAATAGGAACAGTCAAGGTGTCTTTTGTTATGCTAATGGTGACTTTGGCCTGCACCGAGTGTGCAGGTTGCCAGAGGAGCCAGGGTGTGGTTAGAGGGTTGGCATACCAGGGAGAGGAGAGCGGCTGGAGTTGAATCAGTTGTCAGTGGCCAAAGCTTTCAGCAATCATGACTATGTAATAAAGCCCCCATAAAAACTTCAAAATCTTCTGGCGAAGACTTGGGGGTACAGGGAGACCAGCACTCCCAGAGGGGCGGGGGGTCTCCGCAGCCTTTCTCCATACTTTGTTGACTGCATCTCATTCATCTGGCTGTCCCTGAGTCATAACCTTGTATAATAAATGGATGCAAGTTTCTCTGAGTTCTATGAGCTGTTCTAGCAATTGATCCCAAGAAGGGGTGTTTATCAGAAGTGAGGGGCCAGAGGGCCTGTCTTAGGGGACTGAGTCCTTCACCTGTGAAACCTGATGCTATCTCTGGGTAGACAGGGTAAGAATTAAATTGAATTCTGGACACTCAACTGGTATCTATTGTAGGTCTAGAGAACCCCCTCTCCACATTGGAAATTAGATCCAGGAACCCAAAGGAACAGTGATCAAGGGAGTAGCTGAAATGTCACTTCTTACTTCTTGACAGAGCCCAGAGGGTGGACAAAGACAAGCTTTTCTGGGGGTAACAGTAAGAGAACTGCCACACATGAATGAATCAACCAGTTGCAAGAAAGCCTTGATAATGGGGTGTCTTCTGTTTTGTTTTTGTTTTAAAGAAAACATTTATATGAAAAGGAGAGAAAAAGAGTAGTCAAAATGATGGAGGGTGAGACTTTCAAAGTGTTAGTGAAAGTTTGAATTTGCCAACTTCCTTTTTAGCTAAAGAGTAAAACTGAGGCATGGTATCTATGGAAAACAGAAGCTCGAATGGAATTGAATCTGGAGGTTGGAGTGGGAGAGCCCAGCAGTGTGAGATGGAGCAGAGCATTCCAGGATCCGGTCCCACACTGGAGGTTGGGAATGTTCAGGCTCCAAGGGCCTGAGTCTTGGTTACCGAGTGGTCAGCAGGCTGAGCTAGGCAGGAAACCATCAATCTGCTCTTTTTATGGGAAGAAGCTACCTACCAAACTCTCTTTGTCATGATACCAGAGCCCAAATTATAACCTGAAGTTTTTTTGGTGGATAGACGGTCAAAGCAGAGGTTGTTTACTAAGAGTTTGGAATCCAGGAACATGCTACAATTCTCCCCTGGACAGTATTGAGTCCGGACTGATGATATAGAATGACTAAGTGGGACACTAGAATGAGACGATCTTCTCTGTGTACCTCACTGTGCTTCAGTTTCTTCATCTAGGAAGTGTGTCTAAATGTACAGTCAACCTCATGGGGTGGTAGTGAGGATTACAGAAGAATGCATGTGTTGTGCTGAGTGCAATGCCTGGCAGGCAGTTTATGTCACTCAGAGATAATCATTACCATCTTCTCCCCAGGTCCCACCCTCATCCACAGGCAGTGTTCAGTTTCCAACTGACCTATGTTGACTATGTCATCTTAACAAATACAGTAGCTCAAATATCCCTAAGGAGTAACCTTTATTAGAAAACTGTTTCACATTTAAAGAATATTGTAGGGGCCTCCTTGGTATTCTGGGGATTCAGTGCTATCAAACTATCTCTGCAGCGGCCTCAAAGTTCTATCCCTGGCCAGGGAGCTGACCCACATGGCGCAGCAGACCTCTCCTGTCTCACCTGTTGCTCCCCTCAGCAGAGTATTTCAGTCAATCTGCCTGTTCTGTTCCCCACTGTGTCTTTGGTGAATCCTCTCACGCCCTGCACCTCTGGTCTACACCCCTGTTCCTCTATGCATAAGTAAATATTTATTTATGTATTTTTTTAAAATAACAGTTATTTTTACATACATCATTTTGTACATTTTTTTTTTTTT